AAAAATCTTGCAAGATAACCCTTATGTGCCTGGCATGACTTATTCTTTCAATTCAGAGTTATTGTTATTGAGCTGAAGAAAGGTCAGGCCTTGCTGTGCTCGTTTAATGGACCTCAAGTTCTTTCTTGGGGTTTTTTGTTTTGTTTTGTATTGTTTTGTAAAAGAGAAATTTTTTTAACCCCCAGTTTCTCAATCGTCTAATTCTGGATCCCCCTTGATAAACTTGAAGATCCCCTACCTTTCTTTAATGTACTTATATTTCAAATTAAATAACTTGATTCAAGCAAACCAGAGAGATAAACGGCCGCTTTGTTTTCATACTACACCCTCTCCCCATTCTAAGCCACCCTGTGCTCACACCCCAGCCCCACACCTGAATGACTGCTTAGACTTGGTCACTGTTTGGCCAGGGTATTGAATCTGGATATTAAAACATCATTTGCTCATGATTTTTTTGAGGAATAATCAAACAGAAAATGGGAACAGATGAGTCTTGAAAGACAGGAGTCTTTCAAGTGGAAGTCTTTCAGGTCTTTCAAATGGAATAGGAAACGAGGTAATTTTCTTCCAGCAGGGCATTAACTATCTGTGTGCCCTTAGACAAGACTGCAACTCCACAACTCGGTTTCTCGTTCCTCTTCTCCAGAGCAAGCTAAATCAATTGAATCAGTGCCAGACACTTTGTTGCCAGCAAAGAAATGAGGTTCACTTATTCCTTATCCCATTTCAGGATGAGAATTTATGAAATTACCCATGCCCATTTATGAAATTGCCACTACTTAAGTATCCCAGATGGTAATTTTAGTGGCCTCCTATTTTTAGTGACAACCTTCTGTTAAATAAAGTAGGCAGTTATGTTAGAAAGATGTATGTTTTTCCATATGACTCAATATGGCTATTTGTATTGTTAATGCTAAGTATGAGTTCTATAAACATTTTTATTTTCCCTGAATTTGCTGTGGTGCAGAATGTTTCCCTAGCCTCTTCCTAGTTCATTGCTTTACCTAAAATCATTCCTGGTATGAAATTGTTATTCTGTAAATAAGTGTTGGCTAATGTGCAAATGAACCTTTGTTTCTTTCTAGTTCTAAATTTTATGATTGTCAACAAATGCAAAATTTCAGGGTTGATATGGAGGTAGGTTCTTTGGAAGCAGTTTTCTTCCAGTCCGGACATTTTTTGTGTGTTCTTTCTCTTGATGTTACTAAGTGCTAATAGAGTAGGAGAATTGCACCAAGTTTCCAACTTTTGTTGTGTTCATCATTCAGAAGCTTTGGGTGATGTGTGCTCCTTCACAATATAACAGCCAACTCTGAGAAATCATTTATACTATTTTTAAAAAGTATTTTGAGGCACAACTGTCTCAGCAGAAACCTGCATTTTTTCCTCTGGTTTTAGATGGTTAATGCATGTGAGTATTATGTATTTAATGTTCTTCCAGTTAGAAAGCTACATGTATAGCACATGTAGTTTGAATAATTTCCATTATTTGGTTTAAACTAACTTGCATTACAAGGCAGCATAGACAATAGATCCCAGCTCTCTGCTTCTGACCAGCTACTCAGCTTATGCAAGTATTTGATCACTGCCAGGCTGAACAATGAAAACCAAGTTGAAATGAGTAAAATTGGGATAAGGATTCTAGGAATTAGGCAATTTGGGGCTCAATCTCCTGCCATCGAACTCCAGTTCTCCGTACCTCCCACACAAGTGCTTCTGTCCTCCCCTTCCTTTTCTCCTGGCTGTGTAAGACCAGTTCGCCAGCTTCTCCTGTAGTCACATCCACTTGTTGCTCCCAGCCAGAGATTCTGGTCCACCCATTGATGAGTGCAAGCTCACATCTGTTTCTCTTCCTTTTTGGCCTCTAAACAAGCATACTGCTCTGTCGGTGTTTTCTGATCACTTTATCTGCTAGTGAGGAAGGAGAAACAGATTCAGGCCTTAGTGTGCTATGGAGAGGACAGACGGTTCTAGGCGACAGCAGATGGAAGGAGAGAAAGAGATGGGAAGTCTCTGCTAAGGGGTGTCCTTGATGTCATTATATCTGCCCGTGCTTGGGTGGTCACCATGTTCATGTGTCTGCAGTTGATGACCAGAAGTCTCCATTCAAAGCCTGGGCTGCTTTGTGAAAAGCATGGCGATGTTTTTAAAGCCACGGTATGGTGTTTAAGCTTAAACATATACCAAACATATTTATGGTATGCACCCATACATGGGTATGTGAGCATGTGTGTATGTTATTAACTTACTTTGCTATTAGGCCTTTTCCCTCTTAATAAAAAAGAAACCTATTTATCTGAAATATATCATTTATAACAAATTAGAAAGTGTAACCAAATATTAATCAGCCTATAAAAATGAAAGAATAAAAGATTACAATGTTGAGAAATTACTATATATTTCTTAATGGATCAGTGGATAAATACCTCCATATATTTTTGTAATTGTTCTACTAATGTCGTCTTTGAGACACAATATATAAAGATTATAAAATTACCTTACTGAGTCAGTATATTGCCTTTATCAAAGGTAAATGTGCCTTTTAAAAACTAAAGACATCGGTTGGGCGCGGTGGCTCATGTCTGTAATCCCAGCACTTTGGGAGGCCGAGGCATGTGGATCACAAGGTCATGAGATCAAGACCATCTGGCTAACATGGTGAAACCCTGTCTCTACTAAAAAAAAAAAAAAAAAACTAAAGACGTCATTCTGAAAAATAGAAAATTTATACATTTGTTTCATGTCCTTATGCATGGCTGATTACAAAACTAATTTCATGCTAACTCACTCGAACTGATATAGTACAATCTATGCTTTAGGGATTTGGAATGGCTGTAATATAATGTATCTTACAGATACAATTACCACAGTTTTTATGTATTTTGCACTTTATTGTTCTGAGGATATAGTTGTAAAGAAATATTCTACCTTGTGGCTTTTATGTTTTGTCTTGGCACTCAGATCACAAAAGCTTCTATGGTTCATTTTGAAACTTTGAGGAAAATGATACCCATATGATTTAAAGTTTAAGTTTAATTACCTTCTGCAAATTGCTTTTGGAAGTATAGGTAGTTAGAAAGTAAAAGTGGTTTTAAATTTCAGAGATAGAGTATAGCATAATAGCTTTTTAAAATATAGAGATTTTCTATCCAGAGCAGGAAAATTAGAATTGCCTTTGGATAATATTTAACAATGTTCTTTTCTTTGTCATGAAAGTGATATAATTCCAACTCACATCCCTATTTCTTATTTATGAATACAATGAATACTGAAAATTTGTCATAGATTTTATGCACATACTGAAAGGCAGTATCATCTTTTGGGTTTAAAATTGTGAAAGATCTTTTGAGGTAATTTGAGCATTTTTTTTTCAAATAGTAAAGATCTCTATACAAGGAAGGACTTAAATACACACACAGATGTGGATGTCAGCCCCTTAAGATGAGAACATGTTACCTTAAGCAGGAAAGTTGAACAGTGCCTTATTGGTGATGCTAACTTCTTTAGAAATAAGTGCTGCCTGAAGTTTTAAACTTAGTCCTTTTAATAATCTGTTAATATAAAAATACAAGGTGACACTGTTCTAAGCATTGGTGTATAGTAATAGGTTTTAATAAATCCAACTTTATGATTTTAGAAGCTCCAACAACTATAACCTAGCCCTTCATCTCAGACTTACATGTCTATCTGATGTATATTGATGACTGATCTAGTATGAGACTTTGGAGAGAGGAATTTCTGCTGGAATTCCCATTTAACAGATACTTAATTAGTTGGTACTTAGCTGTTTCTTATCATTTGGTCCATCCCCCATCACATGGAATGCTACCTTGAATGTAAATTCCTGGGCACCAGCCCCAGGGAGCTGGTTCCATGGGCCTAGGAATCTGCATTGTAACCAGGGGTAACCCAGATGATTCTGAGGCGGGTGGTCTGGTGACAAGCCTTTGAGAAGCATTGGTGTAGGCGGTGTACATAGAAACAGGGCCTGTTTCATGGTATATGACCTGTACAGTTGCACAGGTTTCACACTGACTCAGAAGAGCCCTGGGCTTCACTTAGCTCTTCTGTCACCTTGAAATTCGTAATAATTTTTAATCAAGGAATCCTGCCTTTTCACTTTCCTCTGGGCTCTGAAAATTGTTTCTTTCTTTCTATTTTTTGAGACAGAATCTTGTACTGATGTCCAGATTGGAGTGCTGTGGCAAGATCATAGCTCATTGCAGCCTCAATCTCCTGGGCTCAAGCAATCTTCCCATCTCAGTCCCCTGAATAGCTAGGACTACAGGCACGAGCCACCATATCTGGCTAATTAATTTTTTTTTTTTTTTTGAGATGGATTCTCACTCTGTTGCCCAGGCTAGAGTGCAGCGACACGATCTTGGCTCACTGCAACCTTTACCTCCCGGATTCCAGCGATTCTCCTGCCTCAGCCTCCTGAGTAGGTGGGATTACAGGCACCCACCACCATGCCTGACTAATTTTTGTATTTTTAGTAGAGACAGGGATTCACCATGTTGGCCAGGCTGGTCTCAAACTCCTGACCTCAGGTGATCTGCCCGCCTCGGCCTCCCAGAGTGCTGGGATTACAGGCATGAGCCACTACGCCCCACCAACTTTTTTTTTTTTTGTAGAGATGGGATCTCACTGTGTTACCCAGGTTGGTCTCAAACTCCTTGCCTCAAGCAATCCTCCTGCCTTAGCCTCCCAAAGTGCTGAGTTTATAGGTGTGAACCTCTGTGCCTGGCCTGAAATTGTTCTTCTTGATAAATATGAATTGCAATTATCCAATAATGATTTCATACCTGTTGGTATTAGGTTGTCAACTGCAAGGCCAATTCTGAGCTTTGGAGATGAATGAGTGTCATTCATCACAGGACCTAGAATAGGAAATCTTAATAGTATGATTTGTTTTTAAGGAAATTAAATTTCTATTCATAATCTTGAACATGGAAACCTATATTTATGTTATTCTAATATGCTGTCTTTTTTTCTCTCAGGATGGTACAAAACAGAAGAGGGAACGGAAAAAGACAGTCTCATTCAGCAGCATGCCAACAGAGAAGAAGATCAGCAGTGCGAGTGATTGTATTAATTCAATGGTTGAGGGTTCAGAACTCAAAAAGGTTCGCTCCAACTCTAGAATTTATCATAGGTACTTTTTACTGGATGCCGACATGCAGAGCCTAAGGTGGGAGCCATCTAAGAAGGATTCCGAGAAAGCCAAGATTGACATTAAATCCATCAAGGAAGTGAGAACAGGAAAAAACACAGACATATTCCGCAGCAATGGCATTTCTGACCAGATATCTGAAGATTGTGCATTTTCTGTCATATATGGAGAGAATTATGAGTCACTGGATTTGGTTGCCAACTCTGCAGATGTTGCAAACATCTGGGTTACAGGACTGCGGTACCTAATTTCTTATGGAAAACATACACTCGATATGTTAGAAAGTAGCCAAGATAACATGAGGACTTCTTGGGTTTCACAAATGTTTAGTGAAATTGATGTAGATAACCTTGGACATATAACTCTGTGTAATGCTGTGCAATGTATCAGAAACCTCAATCCCGGTTTAAAAACAAGCAAAATTGAGCTTAAGTTCAAAGAATTGCATAAATCAAAGGACAAAGCTGGTACCGAGGTCACAAAGGAAGAATTTATTGAGGTTTTTCATGAGCTTTGTACTAGACCTGAAATTTATTTCCTTTTAGTTCAGTTTTCAAGCAATAAAGAATTCCTTGATACCAAGGACCTTATGATGTTTCTTGAGGCAGAACAGGGTGTGGCACATATAAATGAGGAAATAAGCCTTGAAATTATTCACAAATATGAGCCATCCAAAGAGGGTCAGGAAAAGGGCTGGCTGTCCATAGATGGGTTCACTAATTACCTTATGTCACCTGACTGTTATATATTTGATCCAGAACATAAGAAGGTCTGTCAGGATATGAAGCAACCTCTGTCTCATTACTTTATAAATTCATCTCATAATACATACTTAATAGAGGATCAGTTCCGAGGTCCCTCCGACATCACAGGATATATTCGAGCTCTTAAAATGGGTTGCCGGAGTGTTGAATTAGATGTATGGGATGGGCCAGACAATGAACCTGTAATTTACACAGGCCACACCATGACCTCTCAGATAGTTTTCCGCAGTGTCATCGATATTATTAACAAGTATGCATTCTTTGCTTCAGAGTATCCTCTTATCTTGTGTTTAGAAAACCACTGTTCCATTAAACAACAGAAGGTAATGGTTCAGCACATGAAGAAACTTTTAGGAGACAAGCTCTATACAACATCACCCAATGTTGAGGAATCTTATCTACCATCCCCAGATGTCCTGAAAGGGAAAATACTAATTAAAGCAAAGAAGCTGTCCTCAAATTGTTCTGGGGTAGAAGGAGATGTTACTGATGAAGATGAAGGAGCGGAAATGTCTCAGAGGATGGGAAAAGAAAACGTGGAGCAACCCAACAATGTGCCTGTGAAGCGATTTCAGCTTTGTAAAGAACTATCTGAACTGGTCAGCATCTGCAAATCAGTTCAGTTCAAAGAATTTCAGGTGTCATTTCAGGTTCAGAAGTATTGGGAAGTCTGTTCGTTTAATGAAGTGCTTGCTAGCAAGTACGCCAATGAAAATCCAGGGGACTTTGTAAATTACAACAAGCGTTTTCTTGCCAGGGTTTTTCCCAGTCCAATGAGAATTGACTCCAGTAACATGAACCCTCAAGATTTTTGGAAATGTGGTTGCCAAATTGTAGCCATGAACTTTCAGACACCAGGACTGATGATGGACCTGAATATTGGCTGGTTTAGGCAGAACGGAAACTGTGGCTATGTCCTCCGGCCAGCCATCATGAGGGAGGAGGTCTCCTTCTTCAGTGCCAATACAAAAGACTCTGTCCCAGGGGTCTCACCTCAGCTTCTTCACATTAAAATCATCAGTGGGCAGAACTTTCCCAAGCCCAAAGGATCAGGTGCCAAAGGTGACGTGGTGGATCCTTATGTCTATGTTGAAATCCATGGAATCCCTGCTGATTGTGCAGAACAAAGGACAAAAACAGTGCACCAGAATGGAGACGCTCCCATTTTTGATGAAAGCTTTGAATTTCAAATCAACCTGCCAGAATTGGCCATGGTGCGCTTTGTAGTGCTGGATGATGACTACATCGGGGATGAATTCATCGGCCAGTATACAATTCCCTTTGAATGTTTACAGACGGGCTACCGCCATGTCCCCTTGCAGTCCTTAACTGGAGAGGTCCTTGCACATGCTTCCTTATTTGTCCACGTGGCTATTACTAACCGAAGAGGAGGAGGGAAGCCTCATAAAAGGGGCCTTTCTGTGAGAAAAGGGAAGAAATCCAGGGAATATGCATCTTTGAGAACATTGTGGATTAAAACTGTGGATGAGGTATTCAAGAATGCCCAGCCCCCTATACGGGATGCCACAGATCTGAGAGAAAACATGCAGGTGCGTGCTTGTGTTTAATTATTTACTCAATGGTTTTCCTACTTAGTACATCTCCATAGTTTATAAATATATTGGTTTTTTAAATAATAGTATATTTATGTAGTTTTTAAATTCCAATTAGTTATTAGAATGTTTACCACTAGTCTCTTTTTTATCATTTAAATTCCTAAATGTACAGTTGGTGTTGAAAATATTGATTACATATTAGGATAAGTGAGTCTCGTTGCTGTGTTACACACCTTCGTCCCAGTTTCCATTAATGACTGCTGAACAGTTCCTTGTTTTTTCTAATAGCATACATAGGAATCTCTGGGATTTCTGAATATTCCTTACCTGGAACACAAATTGATGATCTATCAAAATTAAAAGGATATAAGTCAAAGTAAAATGGATGTGATCCAGTCCTTTCTTATGAAGCTGTAATGCTGAGGAGATGGGAAGCCTTTAAATGAACTGTAAATCTATGTGTATGCAAAGTGAGCCTCCTCTTGATTTGAGAGGATAGCTAATTCTGTGAGTAAAAGAGGTGCCTGTATTTATTAGAAGTTTAAGATAGTAATTACCTCTGAAATATATAATGGCTAAAAGCAATCAGTTAGGAATTACATTTTTAATTAAGAATCGCCCACACATCTAGCCATACACTAGGACCCCTGAGTGACACAGAGCTAGACAGCAAGGACCTGCCTCATGGAGACAGCAGCCCTGACCTGTCATAGTGTGTGAGAAGTGGTGTGTGTGTGATAAGTGCTCCATGTCTGTTTATTTTGTATTTCAAAAAATTGTATTTTAAAATGACCAGTGAGAATGATGCCAACAAATAAAATCTGACTGAGAAAATTCAACATATTTTCCCTATCTACTAATTCTGTGTATACTTCATGAATAAAAAGACCTTCCCACAATAAGGAAATTTGTTTCTTTTCTCTTAAAGTAAAAGCGTAACAGACATATGAAGGGCTTTTCCCTGTTTCTGAGGGTGAAGGTGGTTTGGTAAACCCTCAGCTCTGAGCAAGTGCATTGTCCACTGCCCAGTGGCTGCTGGGGTGTGTGTGACACAGAATTCCTTTGAGGATTTGTCAGAGCTCAAGCATTGTCTTTTCCAAAGCCTCGTCTGCACTGAACCTGACAAAGCAGTCGGTAGTGATACTGAATGAGCAGCTGCCATGCACAAGCAGTCTAGGCCATGAAGATGCAGTGGTGAACAAACAGATTGACTGCCTGCCATCAAGGGGCTTGCATGCTAGTTGGGGGCAGGCAGTGGGAAGGGGAAACAGACAGGAGGCAGGCAGATAAACAAATAGAACAACTGCAGATATGAGTAAGTGGTGTGATAAGAGTGACTGGGGAACCACACTTTAAATATCACAGTCTTGATTTATTTCTGTAACTGAATATATCAATGTGATTTGAGCCAATGGTATATAGTTTGATGTCCATATTTAAAGCAATATTAATAAAAATGAAATGTTTAAATTTAAAACTAAAATGTTGTTCATTCCCAAGAACCTGGGTTATTTGAGAGCAGAAGGCACAGGCCTGCAGGGCCTAGATCTACCCCCTCTGCCCACATGCCCAGCCCAGACCAGGACCCAAGTGTGCCTGAAATAGCCCACCTGACTCTTATTATGATTATAATTGGCCTGTTATTACTCACGGTGACTCAAAGCCTGGGCCTTAACATCAACAGCCTTCAGGTAAAATCTTGACTCCTTCACTTACTAGCTGTGTGACCCTAGACAAACAGAGAAGGATTATAGCCAAGGCTCAGTCTTCTCATCCATAACATGGCTTGCTGTGTGGATTAAATGGAAGTAATGTGTAATAAATATGCCTAGTATGGCTTAGCACTTGATAAGTGTTCAAAGAAGGCCAACTCATGGCATTTTACAGTGTTGAAGGTTTTTCTTTCGTGGATATTTAAATGGCATACCTCTGGTGATTAGAAAAAAGAGAGAGGCATTGAGATCAGCCGTGACTCTAATAGGGGAAGGTCACAGGTAACCAAGGTCCCTGCTGGGCAGACTCACCGGAGAACAGTAGCATCCTCAAAGGTTCTTTAGATTTTGAGCCAGCAGGCATAAATAGATGAGAGATTCAGGTTTCCACCTTGCAAATATTTCTTTCCCTTTTGTATGGCTGGTATATTTGATACTTATTTTAAACCAGATTGGATTTTTTCCCCCTAAATCTTTACCCTCTTTGAATGCAGAAGCCGTTCTCTCTGTTTGCTCATAGTTGCTTATCCGCATCAGCACTACTATGAACTTTGGGCTGAAAAGAGGCCTTGCCCTTCAGAAGAATTTGACTTATTTGCATTTTCAGTACTTTTGATACGTTGGTGTTACGAATGCCCATAATAGCATTTACTTTGGATAATAGCCATTTTTCCCAGGATAAAATAATCATTAGCCAATTCTGTTATAACACTGCTAATAACTGTTGTACCAGGTGGTTCAAACGTAAACAGGTATATCAAATATAATATCCATGAGAAATTGAAACCCCCAGTTAATTACAAATGCTTCTTTCTTTCCATTTAACAGAATGCGGTGGTGTCATTCAAGGAGCTGTGTGGTCTGTCCTCTGTGGCCAATCTCATGCAGTGCATGTTGGCGGTGTCCCCCCGCTTTCTGGGGCCTGATAACACACCCCTAGTGGTCCTGAATCTCAGCGAGCAGTACCCCACAATGGAGCTGCAGGGAATTGTGCCGGAGGTTCTGAAGAAGATCGTAACAACTTATGACATGGTGAGTTGTCCTTTGTCTTTTTACATAGCCTGGGTGAGAGAGATGTCCTAAGACAACACATCAGACATACTTTGGAGCTTTTGCTGAAGTGCACTTTCCTATTTCATGCTTCATTCACTTATGCTGGAGAAATAATTCCCCTGACCTTGCTGTATTTGAAAGAGATTAGCGTGGTGTTGTTTTCGAAAGCAGAATTCAGAGACACCTCAGTTGGATTAAACATTAGTTAGCTTCTCAACTATATCTGAATTGATTTTTAAAGGATGCACTATTTTCCACACAGATGTAGGAAAGAGTTTTAAAAAATCTTCTCCTGCAGCCAGTCATTGATTTATTTGTTTTCATTTTATTTTCATTTTTTCAACTGGTAAAGGCAAGCAATTTAACCTAAAAATGTAATGCCATGAGGGGCAGGTGCCTGTATCACATGACTCTGCACCAGGCAGTGGTTTCCCTTCTTACGGCAGCTGCTCTGTGACTCCTGTACTTGTAATCAGCTTAACACTAATAGGGTATCCTCAGGATACCTAGAATATTACATTTTTGTACTTAAGATTTACCTTGAATTTTCTTAATCACATCCTGCTCTTATTGTAATTTTTTATTTACCGTAACTCTGAGAGAGATTTTAGTGGGTGAAGGACACCCATTTAAAGTGTATGATGTAGTTGAAGCTGTCAGTGACTCTTCAACCTATCAGGGTTAAGGGTGGTGTTGGACACTCCCCTCCCAGATGGGCCAGGCTGTCTTCCAGTACTATTTAGAGTGCCTGGGGGTTAGTACCTCATCTGCTACCTCCTCCACTCCAAAAGCAAAAGCTAATACCACTAAGGTTTCTTCTGATGTAGCTTGCCGTGCTCAAGGACAAAACAGGATCAGCATCATAAACCTAAACAGAAATATTTTTGACTGTTTTATAAGTTGTCTGAAAGCTGTAATTTAGAGGGATTTATGCACTTCAAGGGAAAGAAAAAAGACATTAGGCCAGCACTTCTCAAATTGTGACTACTTCATAGGTTTCTTAGGATGTTAGTAAATATCACATACGGGAAGGGTTTCATAGGATATTAGTAAATATCACATGGGGGAAAAATAATTTTTTATTATTTTCCTTGATTAAATAATTTTGGGAAATACTAGTTTGAACAAGAGTAATCAGTTTCCAGTTTCACAAATTGACTTGACCATTGGAATTCTATTTCTAAAAACAAAGGTTCTGAAGAATATATTTTGGAATATGCTTCTGTAGTCTTTGGTTGAATAAGTCTAGAAGTACAAGTCAGAAGAATGCAATGTTTTAAATAGCTTATGAGTTTATTACCTTTAAAAAAGTGATATTTGCACATTTTGTAGATTCCTATGAAGTAGTCACACATTGTAGTGGGGGCTGTTTCCTTCCTAGCGTTCATGGTAACCTTAAGAGACACCAGGAACTGAATGCTGGACACTGCAAGCAAATTACATAGAGTGGCACCCTCCTGCAGAGAGGAGGGAGGCCAGGTCAGGTGTCTGATTATGCTCGGGTGCTGAGTGCCACTGTGCTAAGTGCCAAAGGGGGCCACAAAGACTCATACGAACAGCCCCATCCTCGGGGAGCCATCGAGTCCACCAGGAGAGAAAGCAAGGCCGGGGACCAGCATCAACACAGCAAGCTTATGCTGAGATTCCTTTGGTGGGGAAATGGAAAAAGGGGTAAAAATGGAAAAGTTTGAAGAACTTTTACATGCTGTGACCCAGACTGCCTAGATAGTTCTTGACTTCTTAAGTTTTATGAGACACAGCCAAAAAAAGTAACCAATATTTATAGACGTTTTTTAAGCATAAGCCACTAATAAAATCACAGACCTGTTTCATTGACCAAAATCTAATATGATTTACCCCCTAAGACATTTCTTTGATTTCTGTGATAGTCATACAGTGGCGTTTCTTCGTGGCAAGCTTTTTAACAGGGACTTCCTGAGAGTAGGGTGGTAGTCCCCCGTGTAGGTGATAACAGCATAACAGGGCAGGCCAAGTTCAGGGGCTGATTTCTGCTCCATCAGGAGTGTGATCATAGCTGGATTCTCATGGTCTGTGTTAAAAATCCTTATGGCCACCAGCAACCTTTACGGCACTCACAGCAATATTCAGCTCAGGAATGGCTCATTGCTCCTTGGTTCCCTGCTCCTTCCTCTTGGAATGGTAGTTGCCAACACTGAATATGTAACTCTTATCTGCATCTAACTGTATCATTATATTGTTGTAGAATTGACAAGACAGAATATGCTAGCTTGCTTAAAATTTTTAAATTATAAAATTACTCTTTTATAATGTATAATTAAAATAGCTGTGCAGCCTTATACTGCCTTATTTATCGATATGTTCTGTTAATTCCATCTGACAAAATAAGCTGATAAAATTTAAAATTAAATTCAAATTATAGCTGCAGCAATATTATAACTCTTGTAATATTTTACAGTTCTTTTAGTGACTTAATGGTTTCTTTCCTTATGACAATTTATTAAAGCTAGCCAGAATAGATTAAATATTGATGGGAAATGTACTAAAGGTCTCGGACAGCCCGTAACTCTAAATATAGCTCTTTATTTTTGTAATGTTATGTTGAGCTTGACCCAAAATTAACCTTAGAAATAAGATCTTATTTCATTCTGTTGACTTCCCATGTATAATGTGTGGAGGCGAATGAGAAGTAAAGGCAAGTTGAGAAACTCCTCCAGAACTCCTGTGTTGTGGCCAGTCTACATGCCTAAAGTGTGTCTTCCTGTGAGGACAGTGCCATGGTACCTCCTGAAATGTACGGATGTGTATTTATGCTATCAAGATTGTGATTACTTTTCAATTTCTAGACTCTATTAATAAAATAGTATTTCAGAAGTGTGCCAGTTTCTTTGTGAAAACGGAGAATGCAGATCATTGTCCTAATGTCTCCCGTGATTACCACCAACAAACAGGCCTTGAACACTGCTGGAATTGTGCTTTTACAGGACTTGTGGTGCTCTTGTGGCTCCCGTGGTGGGGTGAGCCTGGGACTTACCTCAAGAAGGCAGGTATCAGAGCCATTCAGGAGTGGAGAAGAGGAGACGTTCACACACATCCTTAGACTAGGCAGATTAAGGTAGTTTTAGTAGGAACAGGACTGGGATGGAAAGTGGGAATGATCCTGTTAGCAGTGCTGGAGTCAGAGACATGAGTGTGGGATAGAAGACACCTGCTGAACTTGTGCCTGGAGGCCTGGGGCACACAGATGACCTTTCTTCCTCCCAGTGGTGAGCAAGGGCCCTAGGGTCCTCTTCCGCTAGAACCTAGAGCAAGAAAACTGCACGTAGCAACCCTAGGTAGGGAAATTGTAGCAAGGCTGGAAGGGGGCCTCATGCAAATGGAGGCTTACTGGGCCTTTAAATGAGGCATCTTTGTCCACTTAAGCTCAGTGTCCTTAAGTACTTCATCCTATGATTTAGGGACTCAACTTTTGAGGGCTCGTCTTCCTCTGGTCAACTTGTTCTCTCTGCCCCCCTTAATGGAAGTGACCCTTGAGTCCCTTTTTTCATACCTATCTACTTTTTTTCAACAGATGGGGGCTGGGCTCCATTATTAAGGCATGTGGTTGGACTTTTGCCCACAACTCCATATTTATTGCGTTGAACAGTATATTTTATTATATCATACATCATGACCATAAAGTCAGAGGGTCGAACTTTTGTACCAAATGATTGATTTGCTTTAAAGATGTCATGTTTGGTTGTTTTGAAGTGGCATATAATAGAAATTTAATTGGTTTATTTCAATAAAACAGATACAGAATAAGTTACTGCATTTTTGGTGATGAATTCAACGCCCATTTATAAGCTCTTACCATGTGCACTGCTCACTCATCAACAAGTATTTATTGAGTGCCTACTGTGTACCAGTGACTATTCTAGGCAACATGAGGTAATATAGAGATGAAAAAGACTTTTTTTTTTCCCTTCAGGAGCTTATAATTTAGTTGAAGAGATGCTACAGTATGTTTATAGATAATGGTAAGATGATAGACAATAGATAGTAAATAGATACTTTAAAATATATAAATGAATTATTTGAATCTTCAAAGGAGAAAATGGTTAGTTTCAGGTTCAGGGATTAGGAAGATTTCAGTGAAACATTGGCCTTGAACTAGACCTGTAAGAATGAGTTGGAATTCAACTGGTAAAGAGGAGGCTATTGCAAGATGAGTTCACAGGGTGAAACATGCTCATAGGTGAAATATGCTCAAGCACATATTCTGGGAAATCCAGGTTTGGACTGTAACAAATAGTAGATTTTTGAGCAAAGGACTATGCTCAGAATTAGGTATTATGGAATTTGGGAGACTTGGAGTGAAACAGAACTCAGAGACCACCTGTTGAGCACCTTTATTTTGCACATGAGAAAATGGAAACCCTGTAGCACATCAAATTAACAACAGAACTGGAGTTGGTACCCAAGTGGTATCTCTGTCCAATTTCTTTCTGCAATCCAGATCAGAAAAATTAACTGTGTAGAATGTGCAGATGAATGATCAATACAGCAATAAAGCCCAAGTAACTTTAATAATAATAATCTGCAGTTATTCATGTGGGACTCTTGAAGTTACAGGCACCTTATTTTTTGTTCTTGTGGCTGATAAATGTAGAAAATTCTTCATTTTGCATTACTTAACATATATTAAAAGGCAGATTTAATGCACTTAAAGAAAACCGTAATCAATAGATCAAATTCCACTCAAAGAAATTTGATCATAAATGTCTGAACACATTGTTTATAATTTCAGAAAACAAAAATGTAAATATTTTACTTAAAATATCTATAAATGAACTTGAATGTACCCACTATTGACAATCAAGATCAAGATTGAGCTTGTTCGCTCATGTAATTAGGGGCTGGTAAGAGAAAATAAGGAATATGTAACCTGAGTTTAAGAGAGTCCAGTGACTATCTGGATACTCTTCATAGAACATAGTGTTCTTAAGAATGGATCTGCA